GTGAATTCACTGCTGTGATGGCTCTACCATCTATGAAATCTGTTGTGGTATTGATTGGCCAATGGCCCCAGTGACCTCTGTTGCATTGGAGCTAGCCTTTTCACTGGGTTGCGTTTCTTAGACAATTATTGAAGCCAACTCAATGCCAAGGCTCTCAGGATTGGATGAAGGAAATTTAGTCCTATGCTTTTTTCCTCTTATATTTCCTTGCATGTTGACTCTACTGTATGTACATAGTATTGCAGTAGCCACTATGTAATACAAAACAAAATTGGGTTTTCTTGTTTGTTCCTTGTATGGCCTGGACTGTGGACTTGCTTGTGCTGCCTGGTGGACAGCCGGCCCAGCAGGGCCCTGCTAGACAGCCCATGTCTGCCTTATTGCAGAAACATATTTTGGCCAGACAGCAAATTCTGCTATTTGGACCTGGACTGGCCTGTCCGAATAGGTTGAACTGTTGTGGGAAGAGTCAGGTTAGCCTGTGGGTGGCCCAAGCCTGCCCAATTATCAAACATAACTGGTACAGCCTAGTTGTATGATGCAAGCTTCCATTCTGTTTGGTTTGCAGATGATCCAAGGAAAATTATATCTTTCTTGTGTTAAATCTTTATTTATTTATATTTAGTTAGTTAGGTATGCATAATCTTGTTCTTGTTATTTTAGTCATCCTTTATCTTCATACGATATTTATTTATGTGATTCCAGCTTTTGGTGTGAGCAATGTCAAATTTGGAATCACAAGATTTCCTCAACACTTTATCAATGTTTGACCAGATTTTATTGAAGAACTGTGTGGTCACTTCAGTACAGCCAAATTCAAAACTGGCACAATAGCCAGTCATCAACAATATTTATAGCTGTAATCAGCAAGAGTCCCCCAGATTATTCCAGATCCATCCTGCTTTTTTTTCTTTGTTATCAGAAACTTTTAACAGGGTGATCAGTCATTGGAACTGGCTATTGTACCAGGCTAATACCAAAAGATTCTATGATGATCTTGTAAAATCAATGTCTGTTTTTTTTTTTCACCAGAAGGAATGGTTTGACCAACTTGCACACACCAAAAGAAAGTCAACTCGAGTTGAAAATTTCTTGTTTTAAACACTAGCTGGCCAAAAACTGGGAACAGGGGAGTGATAAACAAACTCCCCCCCCCCCTCCCCATTGCGCTGTGGAACTACTAGCTCTTTGGGAGGAATAGATCTTGAGGGGGAATAATGATTTAATGGACTGCCTCTCTGGGAACTAGGATGAGTAAGATAACAAGAAAAGAACAAGAGTATGGGCTCCCAAGGTTTCATGAAAAAAATTGTTTCAACCAAGATTGTCCCATGGGAACCTGTGGGTAGGGGTTAGTCTGTTACATGGAGCTATTTCCCTGGAAATGGGCCACAAAATATTCAAGAGCTGGTTTCTGAGGCTTGCTACACATGTTAACAATGGGAATATGGAATATTATGAGTTACTGTAGTATTTTCATGAATATCCTAGCTTGTTTATAATTTTATTACACGTGTGGGAGCTTGGTTGGCACATGCACAGTGGATTTCTGAGGCTTTGTGGCCCATTTCTTGGATACTGGTAACCCAGGGGGGTTTATGCATGTAACCAAGGCTTGTATGCATATCTAGCACACGCAGGGGCTTGAGTAATGGGCTTAATTATAGTCAGGCGGGCCTATCAACAGTGAGCAGCATGACTATGTACTCAGTGCACGGGCTTGGAGACAGTACACACCACACTGCTCCATCTTCTAACTATACACAACACTCCAACTCTGTGACTGGATTTGGATTATATGCATATTGCGCTATATAATGAATAACAATTCCAGTACCCATGATCTCAGGGTACCTGTTAATTATTCATGGGTATTTGAAATGGTGAAGGAGTTAGAAATAGGAGTACCCTAGGTTAAATTGCATGCAGATTCAAAATCTCCAATAATATTTAAGTTTTTGTCTAGGGGATTAGTAAGTGTAACCCCCTTTTCTGCTATCCACACCCTGTTTTTCACACCTGCTTTTCTGCTTTTACACCTGGGTTTTCCCAGCCTTTGTAATTCATTTTTTGTAGAGATTGCCTTGGCGCATCCGGATATCTGCTTGGATGCGGATATCCGGCTGTTTTTCCGGGGAAATTGCCATCTGCATCCGCATCCACGCTGGCAGGTATCCGAGCGGTGTAAGACTCAAAAAGTGGTTGTAAGACCCTTTTTGCTGAATTGAGAAGGGGATGATGGAGTGAAAGCTCTGCCCTTCTATACTATCAGATAACAAGACCCACCAAGCTTAGCTTGGCAAGTTTCAATCAAGTGATAGGTTAAAGTTCAGGAATGAGTTGTGTGATGAAGAGTTTTGATTTGGTGTTGGTTGGCGCTTTAAAGTGTTTGTGTAAAGGTGGTCAAATATTGCTTGAGTGTTACTTGACTGTGACTGATGAATCATACACTGCGGAGACAAAAACTGGGAGGAGAGCCTCCTTTTATAGAAAATAGTGAGGGAATTTAGCTCCAGGGCAGCCAGTAATGAGTGATTTTGGTTGGCCTGGGCTATTACATGAGGGATTTTAGCTACATACATAATTTGAATGAGTGAATGTGATTGGTCAGACATGTACAAGAGTTGAAGTGGTGATCTAAACAGCTGAATGAGTGATTCTGATTGGTCAGGTTGTGTGGTGTTTACAAGTAAATGTGGTGGTACCACCTGCAGCTTTCATGCAAGGAAAATACACTAATTTAGACTGCATGCATGAGTTATGTAATATGTAGAAGTGAAATGTAAGGAGTGTAGATGTATGTAAATGGGGGGGTTGTACTGTACTGAGGGTGTCTGTGTAGCTTGAGGGTTGTAATTGAGATTGGTGACATGTAATGATGGATGAAATCCTTGTGATATGTTGTCCAATGTTGGATAGTTCTTGATCCAAGTGTGTTCTAGTGACGCCTCCGTGGTGACCAAGGGTGAATTTATCCGTAGAGTCCAGTTCTTGAGCCATATGGTGTGATTTCTGAGAGATTGGGTGATAATATGAAGAAAAAATATATATAAGAAAAGAAAAGGAAAAAACTTTGAATTTTCCCATTTTTGACTACCACAGTGGGTATCCACGGATACCCGCCCTCAAAATCGGCAGCAAGGCAGCCGGCTGGAAGGGTTTCCTTCCAGCTGTAAAGCCCTGAACAAGTGTATTGAGATGCCATGGTGTGTCCGAGAGGTGAGTGAATTGTGTCGGTTCTTTGAATTAGGTTCTGATTTTCCTCTGTTGATTGAATTGTCCAGGAATCGTGAATAAGACTGACGGTAAGCTCAACTTTTTCTCCTCGAGATTGGGACGTTTATTATCTGAAGTTCACCTATTTCCTCCCAAAATTTTAAAACAGGAATCATCTTTTTGGTGCATGGAGCTTGTGAGCCCACACGTTCTTCAACTACAAGACATAATATTCTGATTCGTGGTATCAATATCTTCTAAAAACTATATATATCTATCATGGGTGCAAACACATGGAGTGGGGTAAGAAATGTGACTCAGTGAGAATAATGAAGTACAGCTTTGCTTTCAAATATGGCTAACTCTTGGTTGATCAACCGCTGCAAATTTGATTTACAATGTTAACAGAAAACCTCTTTTCTCAAAGGTGCAACCATGTTGAACCTCCAATCTGAAAAGTTGTGCGAGAAAGGTCACGTTGTTGGGCATCTGTGGGCTTGGAAAATCTGATGGCCTTAAATTTCTTGTCCTCAACATTTGATTTCTTGATTAGCAAAACCTCAGAAGTATTGATTCAAGCCATTTTTATATTTATTTTGTAGAGGGATTGTGGAGGATATGGCAACCTTGAAGATAATTGAAGCAATTATTCCTTCTAGCAATCCAATCACCAATGAATTGGAAAGCTTTGATAGTGAGCATTTGCTTACGGATATCGACCTCCATAGAAAAAAATGTGTGGAAATAGTTCAATTTGCCATGCATGTTTTGTTATTTCTTTGCCTCACAAAATTTAGAGTCAAGCTGCCAACACCTTGGTGAGTCTAAGTATGGTTGAATATAGACTAGATTCCCATTCTTGTTCCATCCTTACTACACAGTGTGGCTAATCTCAGTTCTTGATTTGTCTTAAACGACTGGAAGGATTTCCTTCCAGCCCGCCATCTCCCCTTCCGGCCTTGGGTATCCTTGGGGATACCCGGATACCCGCCGGGGCTTTGCGGAAAAGGGGCCATCTGCACCCGCTGGTGGGTATCCGCTGTGGTGTTCTAAACGGTACAGGCCCCCTCAAGGTTGAATTTCAAATTGAAAATTTCAACTTATCAATATCCTCAAGCCTCAAGATTTCAACAATATCCCCTCAAATCCCCTCCCAGTCCAACCGTTTCCTTCATTATATTATTTTACTATGTTTTTGTTTCATTTTATTATTTTACTTCCTCTGATTATTTTATCTTTATATTATTTTTCATTCATCTTGATTTTATTTTTATTTTATCCTTTTATCATTCTTGATTATCTTTTTCAAATCACTTACTCAGCAGACAGTCTTGTTTAATTGTCTTGGTCCTAAGACATCTTAGCATGTTGGTTTATTCCACTCTTGATTGTTTTGTTTTGTTTTGTTTTGTTTTGTTTTGTTTTGTTTTGTTTTGTTTTGTTTTGTTTTGTTTTGTTTTGTTTGTTTTGTTTTGTTTTGTTTGTTTTGTTTTGTTTGTTTTGTTTGTTTGTCAAGTACCGTTCG